TGATTTCATTTTTTAACATTAATTTTTCAGGAAATGGATCTATATTACAGAAAGCCACAAAAAATGATAAATCAATGTATTAAATAAAATTAAATGGGTAGTTGAATTTGTAATTATTTTACATTTTCTAAGTTGTTCAGAGCTAGTAATTTTATAGCAGTATAAAGATATGAATATACTTAAATTAACAATACTTGTTAGAATAAAATTCTCTTAACACATTGTATGTGGGAAACGTGTTTACACGTTTTACGTATTTATACGTTCTAGTTTAGTAGAGCATGGGACACGTATTAATACGTTTTTTATAGACTAGTGGTAGAATGCGGATAACGTATAAATATGTAAACTAAAGTTATTGTAATTTTACTGAACGTTGCCATTTGAGCAAAAAATTAGCAAAAATGGCCCGCACCACCTGTTAGCGCATGATAAAAACTACCAGCAAACAATGTGTTAAAAGTAATTTGCTTATAGAGAAACTAGAGGCCCAGTGCATGAAATTCGTGCACTTGGGGTGGGGGTAGGGGGTTCCCTCAGCCTGACCTGAGCCCTCTTGCAGTCCAGGTGCCCTCAGGGGAAATCCGACTGACAGCTGAGGCCCGCTCCCCACCTAAGCTGGCAGTCAGACATCCTTAGCGCTGCTGCAGAGGTAGGGGAGGCTCCCGCCATGGCAGCTGCACTCACCAGCAATGAGCCCAGCTTCTAGATGAGTGGCACTCCCCTTGTGGGAGCACACTGACCACCAGGGGGAAGTTCCTGTGTTGAGCGTCTGCCCCTGGTGGTCAGTGCACAGTATAGTGACCCATCAAGTTGTTCCGCTGTAACAGTCACTTAGGCTTTTATTATATAGGCTAGAGGCCTGGTGCATGAATTCGTGCACCAGTGTGGTCTCTTGGCCTGGCCTGTGGGATCAGGCCGAAACTGGCACTCCGACATCTCCCAAGGGGTCCTGGATTGCAAGAGGGCACAGGCCTGGCCAAGGGACCCTACCAGTGCATGTTTGGGGCCAGGGAGGGACACAGGAGGTTGGCCAGCCAGGGAGGGACCATGGGAGGGCTCCAGGGCATGTTCAGCCTATCTCATTCACTCCAGATCGGCCGGACCCCAGCAGCAAGCTAACCTACCAGTCAGAGGCTCTGCCTCCTGGTGGTCAGTGCACATCATAGCGACTGGTCAACTGGTTGACTGTTTGCCCCCTGCTGGTAGGTGTACGTCATAGAGAGCACTTGGGCGGCCTTAGCCTATCATTAGCATATTACGCTTTAATTGGTTGAACAGTCCACAGGTCGGCTGGACACTTAGCATATTAGGTTTTTATTATATAGGATATAGATATAGATAGATGATAGATAGATAGATAGATAGATAGATAGATAGATAGATAGATATAGATAGATGATATAGATATAGATATAGATATAGATATAGATATAGATATAGATACAGATATATAGATACAGATAGATATAGATAGATAGATATAGATATTCTAATTCATTTCAGAGAGGAAGGAAGAGGCAAAGAGAGAAATAGAAACATCAATGATGAGAGAGAATCATTGATCGGCTGCCTCCTGCACACCCTATACTGGGGATCAAGCCCATAATCTAGACATGTACCCTGAACAGGAATCAAACCATGACCTCCTGGTTCATAGGTCAATGCTCAACCACTGAGCCATGCTGGCTGGGCTAGAGATAGCATTCTTTACTTTAAAAATGCATGTAGATTTTTATAGTTGAATTTAGATGAATAATAAATACAACTCTTTGTCTATATCGGGAAAGTTTTCTCTTTAGAGTAAAATTTTCTTGTCATCTTTATATTGTATATCATTTTTCTCTAACATTTCAGAAATAGTGCCTTTGCTGTGTCAAATGTGGTATAACCAGGTTTTTAGTAGTTAGATACATTTAAACTTGGTCTTAATGAATGAATACGTTTTCTGGGCAAAGAAGGTAATAGAAAAAAGGAGTATTCCCTGGAGAAGAAATAACCCAAGCAAAGTCCCAAATTATGAAAGTGATGAATTGGGATGAGAAGGACACATGGAAGAGTCTATGAGGGCTCACGCAGTGGTCCATGTGAAGGATGTTCAGTTGAGAACAGTGATAGTTGGGTAGATTAGAGAAATTCAAGAAAATTCTGGTCAAAGCATCTATCTACATGACTTAGGGATGAACTACATTTGGGTGAAAAAATGAAGAGTTGTTGAGCATGACATCAAGTTTATAGCACAGGAAGTTCTTTGGCTGGTGGTGCCTTAACTGAAATGAAAGAAGACAAGAGAAGTAGATTTGGACTTATTTGGGTTATGGTTCTTGAAGGAATACACATGTGTTTGCTTTGTTGAGCTGAAGATTTAGATTTAAGGGTTCCTAGCATGTTGGTGGCTATGGTAGGCAGGCTTCTAAGTTGCCCCCTAGTGATTCCTGTCTACTAGAATTCTGATCCTTCTGTATGTAATTCCTTCTGTTTGCGAGTGAGCTGGACCTAGTAATTTGTCCCCAATCAATAAGATATAGTGAAGGCAATAGTATATTACTTCCATAATTAGGTTAGAAAAATTACAACTTCTACTTAGCTAACAGATTCCCTCTCTTTCTGGCTTTGATGAAGCAAGCTCCATGTTGGAAAAGCCCACATGGCACAAACTGAGAACACCCTCCAGCTAGTGGGGAGTGAAGAGCTGAGGCCTTCTGTCCAACAACACTTACAGCACTGAATCCTGCCAGCAACCATGCAGATGAGCTTCAAAGGGGATCCTTCCCTAGTAAAGCACTGGCCCTGTGAGACTCCAACTCTGGCTAGCACCTTGGTTACATTCTTACAAGAAACCATTGGTGCAGAAGACCCAGCTGAACTGTGTCAGATTTCTGACCCACAAAAATGTGAGATAGTAAATGCATGCTATTTTAAGCCAGTAACTTGTGGTGTAATTTGTTTCACAGCAATAGATAGCTAATACAGCACATAGTAGTTAAAATCATGGGAGCAAATTAGATTTTAAATAAATAAATAAATAAATCTAATAAAAAACAAACATGCAAATTGACCATACCTTAGCTACACCTTAAGCCACGCCCACCAGCCAATCAGAGAAACTATATGCAAATTAACCCAACCAAGATGGTGGCCGGCAGCCACAAGCTGGAGCAAGCAGGAGGCTTGGTTGCTCCAGTGATGGAGGAAGCCAAACCTCCTGCCTGCCGTGGCTGGCTCTGAGCTCCACTCAAGACAACAAAGTTTCAATTAGAGAAGATAAATAAACTCCGGATACCTGCTTTCAGCCGGCCGTGGCCACAGAGCTGGAGTGAGCAGGAGGCTTGGTTGCTCCAGTGATGGAGGAAGCCAAGCTTCTTGCCCATCCTGGCTGGCTCTGAGCTCCACTGAAGGCAACAAAGTTTCATTATAGAAGGTAAATAAATCCCAGAATAAAAATAAAGAAAAAGAGGAGAGGCTTGGAGCTACCGTCACCGGGGGGCTTGGCCAGCCTGAAAACGGCCCTCAGCCCCTCACCCAGACTGGCCAGGCACCCCAGTGGGGACTTCCTACCCTAAATGGGGAGTGGCCACCCTGAAAACAGCCATCAACCCTCACCCAGGCTGGCCAAACCTCCATGGGGTGAGGGTCCCCACTGTGGGGAGCTTGACCAGCCTGCAAACAGACATCAGCCCCTCACCCAGGCTGGCCAGGCACCCCAGCAGGGACCCCCCACCCTGAAGGGGGTGTGACCAGCTGCAAACAGCCATCAGCCCCTCACCCAGGCTGGCCAGGCACCCCAGTGGGGACCCCCGGCTCTGCTCAGCCACAAGCCAGGCTGATGGCTGCCAATACAGTGGTGGTGTTGGGAGCCTATCCCGCCTCCTCAGAAGCACTAGGATGTCAGACTGCAGCTTAGGCCTGCTCCCCGCTGGCAAGTGGACATCCCCTGAGAGCTCCTGGGCTGCCAGAGGGATGTCTGATAGCCAGCTTAGGCCCAATCCCCCAGGGAGTGGGCCTAAGCCAGCAGGTGGCCATCCCCTGAGCGTCCCAGACTGCGAGAGTGTACAGACCAGGCTAAGGGACCCCACCCCCCAGTGCACAAATTTTTGTGCACTGGGCCTCTAGTAAATAAATAAAGAGTAACCATAGGACAAAGCTTTGATGGAAATCAAGAATGTCTTTGGGTTTCTATCCTCTCTTTCATTACCATTTCTGGGTCTCAGATTCTCAGTTCTTTTATCTGTCACTGACCTCCTTGTCAAAAAGGGAACTCAATCTGCCAAATTTACTACTGATAAAGTATAATTTGGTCATAATGTAGGGGAATATTTGCATTTGAAGAGAGAAGACAAGGAGAAAGCATTTAATGTTGATATATCAAACACTGATATTTATAGGTAAGGATTTTACCTTGTCTCACACAGCCTCTAAGTCATTCCACATGGCTGACTGCCTTTTATTTCTGAATTAACATAGGAACTTTTGTCTGCCATGAAATAGTAATTATAATTTTTGTTTGATTCCAGGTTTAATATTGTGGTTTAAGATTCTCAAGGGTGGGTTGGGTCAGGTGACCTGGGGGGCGATGGAGCAGATTTAGGCCGCTCTCCTCTTGGGGGTCGCCGCCGCCATGGCTAGTCAGTCACAGGGCATCCAGCAGCTGCTGCAGGCGGAGAAGCGGGCTGTGGAGAAGGTGTCCGAGGCTGAAGCAGGCCAAAGAAGAGGCTCAGGCTGAAATTGAACAGTACCGCCTGCAGAGGGAGAAGGAATTCAAGGCCAAGGAAGCTGCGGCTCTGGGATCCCACGGCCTTTGCTTTTGAGAGAACAGCAAATCTAGTTTCTTTCTATAAACACAGAGTAGAGTTTATCCAAAGGTTTCATCTTTTTACGTCATATTTCTTAGAAAGTTAATGAGTATACTTTGTCTGTTTTTCTATGCCTTTTAATTAAAGCAACATATACATATATATAACAATACTGACTTTTTCTTTCTTAGACATGGTAAGAAACACTTTTTTTTTAAGAAAGAAAGGGATTAAATTAATTTTTTCCCTTAAGCTTTCTTGAAGGTCAGGGGCTTTATCTATGAAAAAGTAGTAAATAGTTGTTTGTAACCTGTGTAAAGCAGCAGCCAGCCTTAAAATATGAGTAGTCCTTTCTGGTGAAGGGTTAGAATAATGAATAGTGGTATAATTGTTTGGGCTGCTTTTAGTATTAATCGAAATTACTAGATGATAGAATTCAAGAGCTTGTTACATGTTGTTACTTGGTGTACTGATAATCATTTAAAAGTAAAGACTTTGTCGTGCAAAAAAAAAAAAAGATTCTCAAGGGTGAGTTAAGTTTAAATTTATATCAAAACAAGACCATGAGTACAATACTTGCGTGAAATACCATTGACTTACCAGATTGATTTGGAAGCTCCATGCTGACATTGCCCAAGGGTTCACAGTAATATCAGGTCACTTCTGCATGCTATCCCAAAGCACAAAGGTATAAACAAATCAGCAGAGAACGTTATTTTCTTTATTTTAATTTTATTTGGCTACCAGAATGTTTCAATATAATTCTTAGTTAAAATATCAAATGGTGTATTTTTATACTAGTATCATATTATATATTTAGGGGCAGACTTTCCTGGAAATTTTGATTTCTCTGAAAGTAAATCAAAACATATTCCAAAATTATTACAATATTATTACTTTTTTTAGGGAACTCTAAGCCCAGAAGGGGTTTGAATTGATAGCAAATAAAACTATGGTTTCTCCACTAATGCTAGCCTCTAGCAATGACACACATCAAGAGATTATGGATGCATGTGATACATATTTTATTAGCTACTAAATGACTCTGCAGTAAAAGGAAATTAAAAGAAAAGTCGAAATCATCTAAATGCATAAAACTTCATGGATTACAAATATCTCTACAAAGATATTGTTAAGAATTTGCCACATTCTTTTTGTTTTGTTTTGTTTGTTAATCCTCACCCAAGAATATTTCCCCATTCATTTCAGAGAGAGTGGAAAGGAGGGCAAGAGACAGAGAGACAGAGAGAAACATTGATGTGAGAGAGACACATCAATTGGTTACCTCCTGCACATACCCTGACCAGGGCCGGGGGGTGAGGGGGGACCGACCCTGCAACCCAGGTGTGTGCCCTTGCCCGGAATCAAACTGGGACCCTTCAATCTGTGGGCCGACACTCTATCCACTGAGCCAACCCAGTTAGGCCAAGAATTTGCCACATTCTTATAAATAAAAACACAACTTTCGAGTACAAACTATTTAGAATAGTTTATAAAAGTATCATTCATAAAACCCATGTTTTTCCACCAAAAGAGGATGAAAGTCTCATGAGATCACATCATTTATACATCTTGGGACATGCCTGTCAATGAAGCAAAATCCTAAGAGCCCTTCAGAATTATCTCTTGATTTTCAAAATTTTGATTCCTAATTGCTGAACACAGAGGTTGTGATTCATAGTCTGGGATGGAATCTAGACATGTGTGCTCTAGAACACGTTTTATATGATTCTATGCACAAACCAGGGTTAAAGGACCACAGGTTATTAGGATTTATGAATGTAAATTATTCTACTTCAGCAACTGAGGTGTCAGTCCTAGGAAAGAGCAAGCATTGCAGGAGCTATGAGAGGAATGCACATATGAAGATATTCAAACAACATCTCTGTCAACCAATTCCATGACTCTTGAATCTTCCCAACAAATTATGGGCCAATAAAAAGAGTCAGAATGTGAAAAAAGACTAAAGATACCATGAGGAAAATATCTTTGGGGAAAGTCGTTTTCAATCATCTAATGGAAAGATGCCTTTCTCCTCACATCAAACCTTCCAAAGGGCAACATGTTTCGAAGTGAATAACTCTGAGAGCTTTGAAATGTATTCTCTGGAGTTGGGTGACATTGAGGACGGGTGCCAAATTATGATTGAGATGATTAAACAAACAGTTACCTGGGTTTAACTCCTAGACAATCTAGAGATGGAAAGAAGGTATGACAACTACCTTCAAACAGTTGGTCACTAGGCTGCCATCTCAAAGGTGACCAGGGAAAAAGGGTTGGCCTGGGGTCACTTTGGGTCCTATTTCATAAACCCTTCTAATTAGCAAAAAAAAAAAAAAGAAAGAAAGAAAGAAAGACCCCATCCAAAAAAAGGCCAAGTTTTCAAATTAGATGCCCAGGACCTGAGTGAGGAGCCTGAGTCTTTATTAACTCTCAGAGAGAGATTAGTAGTTTAAATGCTCTTGACAAGGGACCCCAAAAAGACCTTGAACGGGCACTATGTAGAAAGAATTGCCTGCTGGACCCAGAGAGCACACAGTGAGCTAAAGATGAACAATTTCAAGTTAGAACTCTCCAAATCCCTCACTTCCATTTCTTCTCCCCCCCCCACCCCCCCTTTTAACTTGCAGGATAAGAAATAGCAGCTGGTAAATGGAGGGAGCTAACAAGTGTTGGGAGCAACATGATGTGGCGGTTCAGGCATGAGAGAGGAAAAGAGGAGAAACCACGCATTGCTCCTTCCCTACTGCAGATTTCCACATCTGAAGCTGGCTCAACCTGGTGATAAATATAAAAGACTTTGATAGTGAATCAGGTTCACAGTTGTTTTTCTTTTATTAATGTAGCACTAGACATTTTATTAACCAATTTGGGATAATGTTTGAGACATAAAGTTAATGGAAGTCCTAATAGAATGATAGAAAAGTCATGGTGCCCCGGCCAATGTGACTCAGTTGGGTGAGCATTGTCCCATGCATCAAAGGTTGCCAGTTCAATTCCTGGTCAAGGCACATGCCTGGGTTGTGAGTTCAAACCCCAGTAGGGAGAGTGCAGGAGACAGCCAACTGATGCTTCTCTCTCATCGATGTTTCTCTCTCCCTCTGCCTTACTCTCTCTTTTAAATGAATGCATTTTAAATGGGAAGTAGGAGACAAAATAAAGTTGCCTCTTAGTTATGTCATATGATATGCTTATTTGTTCAGTTATATTTATTAACTTAATAGAGCTATTTCATTGCAAAGGGGTTAGAGGACCATGAAATTTCACTTGATGTAGATAAGTATTCTGGATGATTTGAGAAAAAAAAATGATATATGTACTGAAAACCATTTATGTAACAAATTATTTTCTATCCATTGAGACAAAACACTTTTTTTAAATATATTTTATTGATTTTTCACAGAGAGGAAGGGAGAGAGATAGAGAGAGTTAGAAACATCGATGAGAGAGAAACATCGATCAGCTGCCTCCTGCACATCCACCACCGGGGATGTGCCCGCAAACCAGGTACATGCCCTTGACCGGAATCGAACCCGGGACCTCTCAGTCCGCAGGCTGACGCTCTATCCACTGAGCCAAACCGGTTTCGGCAAGACAAAACACTTTTAAATGTTTACCTATAGCCATCACAATTCTATTATTAATGAATCTCTAGTTGTTGGATAGAATTGAGCTGTAGTGCTTATATTACTTATTTAGTGTGTGCACACTTCCCTGTTCTGGGAAGAATTTTAAGATGACTTTCATGAGAGACTTTACTGATAAAATGGTGAATACAAAATAGAAATATGGGGAAAGTCCAGAAAAATATAAAGATAATTTCAATCTGATAGAAAAGGAATATATATCCTATATAATAAAAGCCTAGTATACAAAGTGACCGAACAGCAGAACAACTGGTGGAACGACCAGTCGCTATGATGCGCACTGACAACCAGGGGGCAGGTGCTCAATGCAGGAGCTGCCCCCAACCCACAGGCCCCAGGCCAGCCAAGTGCCAGCAGGGGCCCCTGATCGTCTCGCCGGTCGTCCTGCAGATCAGCCCTGATCGCTGGCCAGGCCTAGGGACCCAACCGTCTGTGGAAAATCTCCCCCACCTCTCTCTTATGACTATATATGTAATTATATTTAGGGCCCACTTTGACAATTTAAGATAATCTCCCCAACTCAAAATCCTTTATCACATCTGCAAAGACCCTTTTTTCCCCACATAAAGTAATATTCACAGGTTTCAATGGCTGTCTTTAGGGAATCATTTTTCAGTTTACCACAACACATGAAAAGCAATACATGCATCATACAACATGTGGAGTAAGACTTGACGTCACCCCATATATTTTAGGTGATAAACTGGCATTCAAATTTCAGAAATCACATTAGATTAAATAACATCTTAGTTAATTAAATTAATTCTCACATCACAGTTAAAAGTAGGACATTTAGTTCTCAGTAGTGACAATAGTATAGATTTCAGGAAGCCAAAGGTGTTTGTGAAATGGTCTGTGTAAATGGACCATTGTAAAATTCCATTATTCACAAATGCCTCTACTAGGAGCACTACATAAGGAACGTAAATTTATTGCTCTCCCTTTAGGCTAGTAAAATCTAAAACAGCTCACTGCAGAACCTTAGCTCACCACAGAATTTTTAATGCTAGACAGAATCTCAGCCCATCATCTGTACATTTTAGATAAGAAAAGTGAGGCTGAGTCATATGACTGCTCTTAGTCCCATAGCTCAAAGTGGCAGACTGGGATCAGAATTACTATTTCTTCATTCCTGATTCGTGCTCTTTCCTTTAACCTATACAACTCCTGTTTGTTTGTTTGGTCATTTACTGAAATAAAAGCTGGTTTTAATCACTCTCCTATTCAGATGCCTTTAATCCTCAGAATTAAAGCACATTATTTAGGATTTAAGTTTCTATTTTTACATGTAATATTATAAATATTCTTACTGACCCCAAACCAACAAAAGTTTGATCTGTAAAAGCGGGAATTCAGGAGGATGGTGCTCAATAGTCAACTGTGATTAGGTTAATTCAAAGGAGTTTGGTTCAGTTAAGATTTAATCTGAACAAAGGAAGCAAAACCTACAAATATACTACTCAGAACAGATACATCCACCAGAAGCAGTGAGCAGGGCGTAATTTGTAACAGCTGGGGAGGTTTCCACCTACAACCTGATTTAAAGCTGCAGAAATTTTCTCTCTTACACCAAACAAATTGGTTTATGGTTTCATAAAATTCACTGGCTATGTAACTATTATTTCTCATGAAGAGAGATTTGATAAAAGGGCACAACGTCATTCTGATATCCTTTATA